CACTCTCTCTCTCTCTCTCTCTCTCTCTCTCTCTCTCTCTCTCTCTCTCTCTCTCTCTCTCTCTCTCTCTCTCTCTCTCTCTCTCGCACTGCTATCTTATAAATTGCATTTTTGGTACGAGTGCTGGCGATGAGAGCACCCGTATGTATGTGTGGTGTAAATGCGTTTAGTATACAGTATACTGAATGTGCACAACACAATACCCATAATGCATTATCTAATACGATGCTAACTCTCTTTTACTCTCTCCACATCTCTCTCTCTCTCTCTCTCGCATCCCATATATCCATCCCTATAGACAACATAGAGAGCGATGCCATACATATTGTATGTATACGTGATTTAAAGGCATAGATATATTTGATATATACGGTGCATATTGTGTATATACCAGGAGTGCGAGAGACTGGGGACTGGTATGCGCGCAAACCATAACCATCATCATCAGCCAAAACAGAGCACCAGTATATTATTATCATCAGCACAACAACAGCACACCATCGCTATCACCGCCAACAACAACAATAATAATATAATCATAATAACAATACAAACTTGTGCTATAAGTCCGACAGACCAACTGTACTGTCACTACAATATATAGTGGACAGAGTGTCTCAAAATTGTTATTCAAACAAATAATAACAATAATAAGTTTACATAACTATCTAATGATAAAATACAAAGTGATGTTAAATATTGTTAATTAACTACAAAAAAATAATTAAAACTTATAACTATTGTGAAAACTTTCAATAATAACAATTATAATAAATTGAGACCCTGTGCTAAAACGCGCCGCACACGACACACTCGACAACTATGCAGGCGTTCAACGGCACCGAACAGGCCTACTATCCGTACGGCTACCACCTGTCCAACAATAGTCTATACAACACGTCACCCGTCGGTGCCGGGGGTGGAAGTGGCAACGGGGGCTCGTGTACGCCACCCGGACACTCGGGCTCAGCCGTATCGCCGTACAGTATGCTGAACGCGGCGGCAAAATCCATGCGCTACGGCCACCCCTACGGCCCGGCCGTGCAATATCCGGCCAGTTTGGGAGGGGTCGGCGGTGGCGGGGCCTCTATGATGGTGGGCGGCGGTGGCGGTATGTCCGGCAAAGAGATGGTCAAACCACCATACTCGTACATCGCGCTCATCACCATGGCCATTAACGGCGCGCCCGACAAAAAAGTCACCCTCAACGGTATCTACCAGTTTATCATGGACAAATTCCCCTTTTATAGGGAAAACAAACAAGGTTGGCAGAATAGTATCAGGCACAATTTGTCGCTCAACGAGTGTTTCATCAAGATCGCGCGGGACGATAAGAAACCGGGCAAGGGCAGCTACTGGACGCTCGACCCGGACAGTGTCAATATGTTTGATAATGGTAGTTATTTGCGCCGCCGGCGCAGGTTCAAGAAAAAGGACACTGGTAAAGAGAAAGACCAGCCTGGTGGTGAGTTACAGGGTGGGGGTGCCGGGGCTAAGGCCGATAGGCTTAGACAGTGTGCCGGCGGTGGAGGTGCTAATAGTGGCTGTCAGTCGTCGACCGGCGCGGCGGCCAAAGACAGCAAACGTGATAATCATATGAAATCGGGCGACGATGTGCTGGCGCTGAAGGCCAGCACCGGTGCTAACAATAGTAATCATCATAACAGCGCTGGTAGCGGTAGTGGTGGTGCACATAGAGTTAACAGTAGTAATAGTAGTGGTAGTCGCGGATCATCTGCGTTAAGGCTGGCCACTAATCCGTACTCTATGGCCAACACAACCGCCCGATCGGTCATATCGATGGCCAATAGCAGCGGTGATGGTGGTGGTCAGGGGCTGCAACAACAACAGCCTGTCCATCACCAACAGCACATACCGGTGCCCAACAATAACATATCGGCCCAAACGCGACTTTTGCACCAAATCATCAACAATGGCATCAATAGCTGTACAGATACTGGCAATCAGGGCCTACTGTTGACTACCAGTGCCGGACTATTGGCCAAGAAGGAGGTGCTGGACAAGTGTGAACTGTCCGCCTGTATGCAAAACATTGACTATCAGTTCGGCGGTGATCTTAAGGCCAACTGCGGCCGGGATGTGCTTCAGCACCAGCAACAACAACAACAACAACAGCACCACCACCAGCAACAGCAACAACAACAGCTACAGCACATGCAATCCCACCATCAGTACCATCACTCGGCTCTGTCCACTTTGGACGACTCGCTGGACGGCCCGATCGGCAGCTTTACCGTCGATGGCCTGATGGCCAGCGCCCGTAATAACGGTTCCGGTGGCGGCCTATTAAACCGGGCCAACTGTCTGTACGGCTCGTGCGGCGGATCGCCCACCGGTGGCGGCGCTACCGACGACTCCAGCCCTCACAACAACTACTGCCAGTCGCCGCCCGTACCGCTTGACCCCACACAACAGCACCACCCCCTACACCATCATTACGACCGGGACATTGGCCACCCCGGGGGTCACCCCCATCACCAGTCCATGGGTATAGTGATCGAGGACATTAGCGCCACCGCCATGAGCACCAGTGCCGGCCATTTGACAGTTCAGGCCACAGCCACGGCCAGTCTCGCCGGCACTGGGAGTCCCATCGTTTACGATCACCACAGGGCTAACGGCTGGTACGGCAGCTCAGGCGACGGCGGTTCGCCTACCGATTGTGATATACCGGTGGGCGCCGGCGGCCCTCAGGCCACTGCCCAACAACTGTACGCCAACGCCTGTATGCGGGCGGCTGTGGCCGCCGACTTGTATGCGGCCGATAGACTGTCGGCAACCACCACAGGTGCGGACAGCGATGACCAACACTCGCCGCCGGTGAACAATACTAATGGCAATAGTAATGGTAATAATAGTGGTGTGAATAGTGCCGGTTGTGTAGCGCAGGCTTCCCATAGTAATAGCGTTACGCCCGATGGTTATCAGCCGACAAGCGGGTCCGGGAGTCCAGTGGCCACCGCTGCCACACCCGCTGGTGGGCCCACCGCCTCCTATTTCGCCCGTTTCTAGTCATATAAGTATATAATGTATGGATTTTTTAATTATTAAAATTGCATTTCATTTGATTTTTTTCAATTGTTTTTTTTATTAATTATAATTACAAACAGAATTCAAACACATATATTGTTTTGTAGATTATATTGATTTTTTTGTGGTAAAATCTATGGTTAACTCTCGTTACTGTGAACACTGACCGATAGTTTGTTTCTTGTATCAAAAGTAGTGATTTTTTAAGGAAATTATTTAGTATTTTGTTAAAACTTTTGTTTTATTTTGTGTAATGAATATGACTTTTCATTTGTTATTTTTTAGGCCTTGTATAGACTTTTAGGACTGCCTTTATTGATGGGTTTATTATAACGAGAGTTGATTATAGTGTCTCTCTGTGTATATAAAATACATTATAAATATAGATTTCATAGATTTTTCTAGGTTTAGATATGTAAAAGGTCCCAGATTATTACCTGTAGAAAATGAGCTTCATACAAAATACATATATAATACAGAGAATATTCTCGTATTTAATCACGTATAAAATACTAGCAATTTTTAATTTACTATATATAATGAATACATTATAAGAGCAGTCATATAATACATTTATCGCATAAGTAATTACATTAACATTACAAAAATGTATAGAAATTTTTAACAAAAACAGCACAAAAAACAAAATCACGGTTTGAAATACATTGTAATTATACAGACATATAGTATGTATTGAAATATACATTATATAAATGTTATATAAGTAATAAATTCATGATAATAATAAAAATGTTTGTTAATTGCCATTTCATGTGAATCCATACATACCGGGGCCACTTAGCTCTGGGAGTTTATCATAATAATGATGACCCAAACCTTTGGCCCACATTTATTCATAAACACATATGAGTTGTTATAATATGTTTTATACCTAGGGTGACCACCAAAAATCCTCTTAAAAAAGGACGTCTGATATAAAATAGTCATTTAAAAAAGGACACAAAAAGGACGCAAATTTTTTTTTTAACCCTATGCATTTTCGTTTGTTTTGTCACACATTTTAGATGAATATTTAAATGAGAACACTTTTAATAAACAAAATTATTTGATTTTTAAAATAGTTTTCTGTTAACAATTACAACATTTTTAATTATATTTCTACTCTATTATTATTATTTACTGTTTGTGTGCTGTAATGTCTCAACTTTACAGCTTTACAGATCTACAATGCATAGCAATCAATGATATTTCCCATATTTTAAAACATATAAACATTTTATATTGAAATTACTAAAATTCAAAAAAAGGACGCGTCCTTCTTTACCCTGTTTTCAGAGGTCGAAAAAAGGACAAAACCCATAAAAAAGGACGTTCTGGTCACCCTAACTCAGTCTATAGACTCGCGGATAGATTTCAAATGAAACGACTTCTCGTTTATTATGAAAACCAATTGAAAGCAAACATTACTGAAGAGAATCTCGAATTGGTTTCAAAAATTGCTTTCAATTATGAAATCAATTCTTTGGTTATTTCTGTGAAAGCATTCATTGACCAAAACTTTGAACAATTGGTTTCCAAAGACAGGGATTATATCAAACAAATCAATGACTTAACGAATGAGTATTTAATGGATAAAATGTTATCAAAGTTTCCCAATAATAGTACAAACAATAGTACACAAAATATCAACAAAAATGTTCCAAAAAGACCACATTTTTTAAACGATTCAATACTAAATATTTTAGAAATTTGTTTAAAAAATAACTTCTTATATAATTATAAGTTATATTTTTTTGCTATCCTTTTTTAATTCTTCATATATTCTTACAAAAGATATGAATATTTAATTTCAGTTATAAATTATAAGCACTGTTTGTTTAATATATTAATTTTTATAAAGTTTTCAGTAATCTTTCTATTCATATCTCTATTCAATCAATTAAATAATATTTGTAATCATAATGTAAACGATTAGTAAATGTTTAATTAATTAATTAAAGCAATTAGCATGAAATGTACGAAATTATAATGAATTAAATTATGATTAAAATTTATTAAATGCAAAACACATTCATTTCCAATAATTTTATTTCACGTTATATTGTATTTGAAAATTTCATTCATAACTCATTTCCCAATTCTAACCATCGATTGAATTGTGGTTTTAATTTTTTTAAATATAAAATGTTATCAATTCTAGTATTGATTACAAGTCTGTCATCCGTCGGATGTGAAGACTTTTGCAAACAAATCAAATCAAATGGCGTACAAGTCTTCACATCATATGTTCACAAAAAATATATAATGTATTCAAACGGTTTTGAATGGGATTTTGAGTTTGATTTACACAACGATTACATAGATATTGATATGAATTCAGTCAAAGCTATCGATAAGACTATAATCAATAGATTTGGAGGAATTGATTACGACTGCGAAGTCAGATATAAAGTAATAATGATATGAATTAAAAACACATTTATTATAAATATTACTATTATTTGAAAGTCAGGAAACAGTGGATCGATTGTCACCAACTGTTCCGGTGGTCTACGAGTGGACAGAGAGTTTCAATACGATCCGAAAGATCTCATATTTATGTTGTCATACAATCTATTCGTGATTTACAGCCAAAGAGATTCAATGATCTCGTGTTATAATCCAACAGTAGATCCGCTGAATAGACTCATTACTTATGGGATATGCAATGAATTGCAAGATATATCTCAAGTCATTAAATTGTTTGAATGGTTTGAACCGATGATAATCCACGGATTTGTTCCCATATATGAAAACAATAGATTCATTACAAGTAATATAACAGGTTTTGGTCTCTTCTTCGACATCAGTGGTCAACCCATGTATTGTTTGCTACGAATTGATGACAACAACTATAACTATGTATTTATTAATTTTTTAAACAATTATAAAATATTTATTTCATTATTTTTCTCTCATTTATAGTGCAATTCAACGAAACATTTGAAACCACTTTTCAGTCAATGTTTCCCAACAACTGATGGAAAGTCAATAAAACGTAATCTTTTATGGGTTTGTGTTTTGATCATTGGATGGATTGTAATATTAATCATATTTTTGTTTATCGGTTGGAAATTTTATTGATTTGTCGGACATTAAATAACAATAACATAATTTTAATTATTTTTATATACAGTACTTGCAAATAAAGTAATTGTTATAAATTGTGAATTATATGTAATTATTATAAACTTTTTCCAATAATTATATTTCACGTTATATTGTATTTGAAAGTCTTAATCATAAGTTTCAATGTTTAATGATTCATAACTGTTGTCTTAATTCTAACTATCGATTCAATTATCAGTTAAAGACTTTGTTAATACAAAATGCTATTAATTGTGATATTGATTACAAGTCTGTCATCCGTCGTATGCTTTGATTTTTGTTCACACATTAAATCAAATGGCGTTCAAGTCTTTCAATCATATCTACAAAACAAATCTGTTATGTATTCAAATGGGTTTGAATGGGATTTTCATATCAATTCAAAAACGGATGGCATTATAATTGATAGGAATTCAATGAATACTATCAATAAGTCTATTGTCAATAGGTTTGGAGTATCGGATCATAAGTATATGTCTGACTGTGATGTTAGATATGAAGTAATAGTGATATGAATTAATTAATAGTGATAAAAACATACTTATTATAATTATTACAATTATATGAAAGTCTGGAACCAATGGTACGATTGTCACCAACTGTTCCGGTGGTATAGAAGAGGACCGACACAATCAATACGATCCAAAAGCTCTCATGTTTATGGTTAACAAGAATACAACACTTATTTACAGCCAAACAGAGCCGCGGATCAGATGTTATAATCCAAGTAAACGTCTGTCGGATAGACTCACTAAAGGCGATGAATGTGACAAATTGTTTGGTATCCATGAGTTGTATGATTTCTTTACTCGAGAGGTGTTTGATTTAATCCGTGGACTTGTTTACGACAAATGCGATAATTTCAAGTGTATGGCTCTCTTCTTCAACATCGATGGCCAACCCATGTATTGCTTGAAACCAAATGATGACAATAACCACACCTATGTATTCATATCAAAATCATTATAAAACTTCTATTTTACTCTTTTCTCTCATTTATAGTGCAAATCAATGGATGATTTTAGACCTCATTTCAGCGAATGCTTTCCAACCAGTGATATAAAAACTATAGTTATATGGATTATTGTTGTATTCATTGCATCCATTATACTATTGGCTCTATTCGTGTGTATTTATAGCATAATTAGTTCACAGAATAGGAAATTAAGTAAAATCTAAACTTAATTTTAATTCATAACTTTTATTCAATAAACTATTTATGTTTTAATAGCGAAACAGTCGTCGTCTCTAATAACTATATTAACTGAAGACAAATCAATCGAAAGCAAAAAATCGGATAAAACTTTAAAATCAACTAAAGTTTTGTCGAAAAGTGTCGACAATTAAATTATTTTTAAAGCATTCAAGTGATGGATATTTAAGTTGATATTTCAATAGTTTTTTCAATTTAAGATTCATTTGTAAATTGAAATGGAAAAAACTGATTTATAATTGTATACCAAAAACTTATTTGAATGGAAAGAACGAGATATTAAGAAATGTTTTACAAATTAGCAAAATATTTCTAATAATAATTAATTATAATAAAGATTTACTGTATATTTCACTTTATATTGTATTTGAAAATCTCATTCATAACTGATTATCAAATCTAAAAATCGATTGTAATATACACACATGTAATATAAACATTATACTTGATGAAATGTAATACACAATTCAATATTTTAAATATAAAAACTTAAATAATGATTTGAAAACTACTTTGATATGTAATATAATCAATTATGAAAAATGTAATAGAAATAAAATAAAATATCTTTAGCTCTTTAGTCACAAATAATGTATTAAATATTGAATTTTAGTAAAAAATATATAATTATAATTTAATAATCAATGAAAAGAATGGTAAA